TATTTGAAGTAGGATTATATTTCTCCTGCTGTGAAGAGTGAAAATTAATGTCCTGTTTGAGGTACCTCAACCATATCGCCGAAAGACCAACTCCATGTCATGGAAACAAATCAGAGGTGTATTTGGAGAAAGATCCAAACATTCCATATCCCAGAAGATATTAATTACATTATATTACTCCTGAGTGAACGTAGCAAGAAGGTATAATCCTTGGGTAAATATCCAGAACAAACTAAAGGCATTTGGGTTACACTGTAAACAATAATCTAGATCAAATTACTTAATAGTTTAGTTATCAATGTAGAATAATATATGCTTTAGCCTGTGCCAGAAAGATAATCTTTAGAGATGTCTGCGTGACTCCTTGTCCTAAATTGAGTCCATTAAGTGATTAAGGAATTAAGAAACAATAAAAATAGCCTGGGAAAACATTGTACTACTACTGTGCAGCCACTAACCTTCCGTATCAATCCAAGATTTTTCCAAAAATGCTGACCATTTCTAGAACTATTTAGAACATGGGTTAGCAAACCTTTCCTGAAAGGTCCAGGTAGTAAATATTTCAGGTTTTGCAACTCTGCCATTATACACAAAAGCAACCGTAGATGATCTGTTAATAACCTAACCTTTCCACCTTGCCCCAACCCATGGTTTTGTCTTCCATGTGTGTGGTGCCCTTTAAAATATGGCTTCAGACCTTGGGGGATTGGCAGATATTCCTGAAGGCAAGCACTGACTTTGGTGTTAGTTTACCCTTTGAAATTGCACTTTCCCTGTTTCTGGCTTCTGAGGATCATCATTACTTTCCTGCCAGTTTAATTATATACATACTGGAGGCCCAGTGCACGAATTTGTGCACCGGTGGGTCCCTTGGGCTGGCCTGCAATAGGTGCCAATTGGAACGGTCTCACCCAGCCCCAATCAGGACCCATTGGGGCTGGCCAGCCATGGGAGGTTGGCTGTGGAAGCGCACTGACCACCAGGGGGCAGCTCCTGCACACTGCCCCCTGGTGGTCAGTGCACATCATAGTTACCAGCTGGTCATCTGGTTGTCCGGTTGTAATGGTCACTTAGGCTTTTATATATATAGATTTAAAAATTACATACATACATAAATTGTGTATACTTACATGCATATGTATGTATGTAAATAAATATTTTCCAGGGTTATTATTGTTGTATGGTTAAGTTTCTCTGTTGGCTAGCTTGTTCATTGTTGTTGGAAACTTAAGTCCATCTATTTGAGCTTTTCTTTTTTTATTGTTGCCACTATTACAGATGTCCCCTATTCCCCCCTTCTATTTAATCTTTTTTAAAAATGTATTTTTATTGATTTCAGAGAGGAAGGGAGAGGTAGAAACATCAATGATGAGAGAGAATCATTGATCGGCTGCCTCCTGCATGCTCCCCACTGGGGATTGAGTCTGCAACCCAGGCACGTGTCCTTGACCTGAATCGAACCCTGGACCCTTCAGTCTGCAGCCGACTGAGCCAAACCAGTGAGGGCATATTTGATCTTTAAGTTGCTGAACTGTAAATCTTTTAGCAAGATGGAAAACCCAGAACACCATTGCCATCTGGTGGAAAAATATACTATTACCACATCTAAGTGAGACCTACTTGGACTCATCTTCTTCTCATTCCCCCCAAATTGTCAATAAATCCTGTCAAATCGTCTTTTCATCAGGTCTTCCTAATTCTCCTTTCATTCCCATTTTCCTAGTACTACCTTAGTCTTGTTCCTAGATTTTTTTTTTCTAGAATTGTTGCTTTTGAACCAGCCTTTTCCTTTAGTCACTGTTCTTTCATTGTATTTTCCGTGTTCTTATTGTCACATCTTTCTTTTACAATTTTACATTAATTTGATGGGTTGCTTATCAATTTCTTGCTTATAAGCAAAACTTTTAGAGCCAATAACACAATCTGACTAGGGATAAGAACACAGTAGAGGTCCAATAAAAGTTAGATGAATTGAAAAAAGTATTTAGTGCCATTTGTTCATTTGCCAAATTTATCTGGGAGGCAGCATATGTACAGAAGTTTCCACATTTTTTTTCTGTAATAGCATACTGATGAATGACATTCGCATATGGGCTTACCTAGATTTTTTTTAAACTTAAAATTATATTTGATTACAAAATACAAGACCAATATGAAAAATGAGTAATTATATTGATGATGTTGGGAGCTACGGTTCTTACTGTGGAAGATACAAATGTGGAAGGGGGAAAGGAAAGGAAGAACCCTGTGGGGGTGGATTGGAATTGGAGATAGCAATAAAACTCATAATTTTTAATACATATGTTTTCTTGCTCTTTCTAGAGTCAATGACATTCCAGCAGGCCCAGATCTTAGGTTTTAAACACCATTCTCCAGAAGAAAAGGGAATTTTGGAGAAATGGCTGCTTCTAGGGCTGAGTGGGAAAAGAAAAAATAAAACAGTAAGATAAACTTGGAACATTTATGCTGGAAAATAGGGAATTTCTCAAAAAATGGTAAGAACATGCCCAAAAGACCAAAAGCCAGCTTGAAAGGTCTTCCACTGGCCAAAGCTGGGACAATTTGACATCAAAACAAATGAGAGTAACAGACAGAATAAAATAGGAATTCATGAGTTCATGCTAATATAAGTGATAAAAAGAAAAAAACTTTTCCTTACAATAGAATGCCAACTAGTAAGTGTACAAGGAATGATATTATTGGAAAAACCACCATTTGGCAACAATTGGAGTAACAATTAACTCAGCCAAGAAACATTACTGGATGCTAAATAAGGGTGTAAAAGTTTGCTGAGAAATAGAATATTTACAGTCTCAAAGTATCTCCCCACAAAATGCTTAATTCAATAGAAAAAAATAAAACTTTATAGTGGAGAAATCTAGCCAACATCGCCTAAAACGAATGAAACTACACCTTGAAATGGGACAATTGACACCACGATGATGCACTGAAAAGGACACATCATTTCTAGGACATTCCTGTCCAAAATGCAACCTAATCATTTAAGAAACATAAAAAAAAACTAAGATTAAGGGACATTCTAAAATAACTGGCCTATTTTTTAATGAGCTTGACATTTTTGGAAGACAGACTGAAGAACTGTTCTAGGAGGCTAGAGACATGGCTTCTAAATGTAATGTATTATCTTGGATTGGATCCTGGCCCAGCTTTGTTAAAAAAAAAAAAAAGCCCATTAGTGGAACAACTAGTGAAATATGGAAAATATTATTGCATTAATGTTAATTTTCTGGTTTTTATAACTGTGCTATGGTTGTGTTAGAAAATATCCTTGTTCTTAGGAAATACACAAGTATTTGAGGTAAAGAGGCATCCATCTGTAGCTAACATGCAAATAGCCAGGGGGAAAAAGCATTTATTCTACACCGATAAAGGGAAAACTCTTCCTTATAGAATGACAACTAATTAATACACAAAAAAATGATGTAGTTAGAAAATTACAATTTTGTAAACATCACAGTAAAAATGTTTTTCAGAATAGAATCATCAAAGGGTACTAATCTAGCTGGGGCAGGTTTGATGAGAAATAGAATATCAACATGGTCTCAAAAATTTCTCCTCACAAATTAACCACTAATTGCAAAGGAAAAACAATAATTACACAGTGACTGGCCACATCTGTCCTAAGCGATCAGAGTGAACATTACCAATAAGGCAGTTCTGTGAGACTGGATGTGACATCACTCATAGTATTTCAACCCACACTGCATAACTTGAATTTAAACATAAAGAAACATTGGGAAAGGCCAAAGTGAAGGATGTTCTATGCTTTAACTGTCCTATATTCTTCAAATACATTAATACTACGAAAGACAAAAAGAGGCTAAAGAGTCATGATAAAGTAACATATGATCCTGAACTAGAAGCTATAATAAACAACAAACAATTGAACAACAAATGAAACTGGAAGAGGGACTGTAGACAAGGGTACTGTTATCAATGCTAAGTTCCTGAATTTCATAACTGTACTTAGTATGCTTGTTCTTATGAAGTACAGATATAGTATTGAAGGGTAAAGTGTATGATGTCTGCAATATACTCTCAAATGGGCCTAGGGAAAAATATATAACAAAAGATAGAGAGAAAATGATAAAGCAAATACGAGAAACATTTTAAAAAGTCAAAGTGCAGAACAATGTATACATTTCCTCTATTTAAAATCCTTAAAACAAAAACACATATGTATATGTAGATATATATTTCTAGGATACTAAAATTATCAGTACTCCCCAGCTAAGGAAACTTGGAGCTAAAAATATTAGGTGGTTGGCATGAGGCTATAAAGAGTTAAGTCTCTCTTTTCTCAACCTTCAGTTCCATTCCACGGGGGTGGGGGTGGGAGGCACAGTATTAATAGCTTCCAGATGTTTTCTATGTATATACCCAAAGTTCTGCATATATAGCATGTAGAATTGTTATATCACTTTGATGGCTACATGTTCTATTGATATTTAATGTGAGTTGTGGAAGTCCAGATCTCGGTTAGTACCTGAGAAATGTACTTTTCCCAAAGTTGGCTGACCCAACTTTGGTGTTTGTTTGTTAATCCTCACCTGAGGATATATTTTTTCCATTGATTTTTAAAGAGAGTGGAAGGGGGGAGAGACGGAAAGAGATGTAAGAAAGACACATTGATAGGTTGCTTCCCACTCAAGCCCCAACTAAGCCAGGACTGGGACCAAGGCGCAATTAAGCCTACAACTGAGATAGTGCCCTTGATTGGAATCGAACCCTTGATCCTTCAATCTTCAGGGCTGATGCTCTATCCACTGAGCCAAACCGGTTAGGGTGGCCAACCCAACTTTTAATGTATCTGGGCCACTCTCTAACTGGGTTCCTTTTGTTGATTTTAACTAAAAGTCCCAAATTGATTAAAGCATGACAAGATACTTCCTGCCTTCACAGCTATTGCTATTTATTATATTTTACATTATCCTTGTGATTTTTCTAGATATTAATAACAACATATCCCAGAAACACTATTTTAAAACTTAAACAGTTAAAACTTTATTTTGCATAATAATTTAAAAATAAAAATGCAATATCTATACTATGTATATCATGTTATCTATTCTACACATTTTATAGTTATAAGTATTTACACATACTATACTTTGCAATAGGGAATACTTTTTTGGTCTCCCCTAGCAGGCTGCAGATTTCCAAAGCCGAAGTCCTAAACCTCTGAAAGTAGCATTAAAAAAAATCTTTCTTTGAAGATATATATATTGGGAATCAAAATATTTGCTTTGTTTTATTTTTTTTTGGGGGGGAGGGTTAAAGAAGTTTCATTTTTGCTTCAAAAACTTTCCCAAAGAATAGTGATTCATTTCTATTATATATCATCATAATGAACACTGTTCTTCTGGCTTTCATAATAGTGTAAATTCCAGGTTATGTGTGTAACATGTATTTTCTGAAATCCAGTGTATTCATTTGGATATATATGGAGTACCCCTTATGTTCTTATTCTCATATAAAAGGTACTAGCACTATGACTTCAAGAACAAACTTTTTAAAATCATAAATAGAACTTGCGTTTGATTTGGGTCTTGGCTAATTTCCAAGGAACCATTCAGCAATTGTGGTCTCAGATAATTAAATACCCTGTGAAGCTGCAATTAATTAAGGGACTGCTGATTCTAAGAACTAGGCAACCAACAAGGGAATGAGGGGGAAATTACAAATCTGAATGCCAAGTTCTGAGAAAATATCAATAATCCCCTTTTCACTTTCACAATATATGTAAGTATAAGGTAGAGTAAGAGGATAATAAGAATTATATGAATATTGTTAAATAAAAAGTGCTACAGAACTGGGACAATATTTTGTTGTTGTTAAATTTGCCTCTTATTCTAGTTCAATAAGATGCTTGTAAGGCAGATTAGTTCCATTGTTGCTATTCAGAACTTCTAGAGAGCAAAAGAATGAATCAACTTCCTTGGTTTAAACTTAATAGTCTTAAAACATGTTATTTTGTAACTTGAGCATTTATGATATGCCTTGAAAATTTAAAGCAGAAAGCAAAATCATACAGAAAGACAGAATCTTCATCAATATATCTAGACAGACGTTTGCTTGTAGTTTTTGGTATCCAACACCTTTTTCCCACACATTGCACAGATGCCTAAACAAAAGAAAACACGTGAACATCAAATCACAATACCAACTAATAATATCAACAAATATCTAAAACAATGGTTTGGTTAATTTAAGTCAATTCTGAAGCTAAAACCATAATTTATAGCATCAGAAAACAGAAAAAGGCAATATATATTTTTAATGATGAACAAATTCTATTTTGCCTTAGAAATAAGAAGGATTTAACTACAATAGAATTTATAAAGGCAACTCCTTTTTCTATATTATCCAAATCAATACCAAATAAAATAAGTTTGATATGAATAGAAAGTATTAAACTTACCCTTTTTGTACGCACAGCCCTGGCAGTAATTAGAACCCGGTTGGTGCACAGAACTTTTGCAAATTCTGCAAGTGGAGAACTTATTCTTCCCATATGGATCGAATCTAGAGATTTTTTTAAAGAAAGAAGAATGTATAATCCCATAGAAACACTCTTAAATAACCTCATTTGAACAACAAATGGGATTAATCCATGCTCTCAATTCCCTCTGTCAAACTCTACCAGCTCTGGCTACTCTATAAAATGCCTGCACACTTCTACCCCTTCCATGCAAGCTGTATGCTTACTTAATCCCAAACCAGTTTATAGCCAATCTATTTGTTGACCTATTTGTCTGATGTGTATATATATATATATATATAAATATTAATATTATGGAGCCCTGACCTGTGTGGCTCAGTGGTTATAGTGTCGGCCTGTACACTGAAGGGTCACAGGTTTGATTCCTGGTCAAGGGCACACACCTTGGTTGCATGTTCCCTCCCCAGTTCTGAGGGGTGAGCTCTAGAAGGGAGCAATAAGCACAAACCTCTTCCAGTGGGAGTGGGCTTGGCTTATCTGATGTAGAGATTGCTACAACAGGAAGTCAGAGAGGTGGGAGGAGCCAGATCAGAGAGGATCTTGTAAGAACATGGTAGGGGGCTTGGATTTTAATCACCGTAAAAGAAAACCAATGAAGGTTTTCAGCAAAGAAGTTACATGCCTTTTAAAGGACTGTTCTGGTTACTCTAAGACTTTACAGGGAAATAGAGAGGAAGCAGAGAGATAGAGAATTAAGGTATCCAAGTAAGAAATAATGGTGGGACAGAACTTGGCTGGAGGTCCTGGCTAGAGAACCTGGCTAGGCTGCTGATCAACTGAAAAGAGAGAGAGAGAGAGAGAGAGAGAGAGAGAGAGATTTAAGAAATAATAAAAAAAAAGAAATAATGGTGGTTTGGGACATGGAATAACAGTGAGATGCACAAAAGCAGGTGGACTCAGGTTATATGTTGCTAGCTGATGGGTATGGGAAGTGAGGAAAAGGAGGGAACCAGTGAGGAATTCTAGCTTTTAGGTTTGCACAACTGGATTGGACAAAGTGCAATGATGAGAAAACTATGATTAGAAAACGGAAAGAAAAAGAGGTTACTTGTTAGACATCCAATTGGATAAATCAAGTAGACAGGTGGAAGTATGTTTGGAGCTCAGAGAAGTCAGAACTAGAGATATACATTTGGGAGTTCTTAATAGATAGTTTGAACTTAAAGCTATTAGGCTAAAGTCAATGAGGAGAAATTATAAATTTATATATATTAAAAAAAAAAGTCTAAGATTGAGTCCAAGGGCACTTGACTGATAAGAAACAGCCAGTGAGTTGGGAGGAAAAAAGAGTATGGTGTTCCAGGGCCAAAAGAAAAAAGGGTTCCAAAATAAAGACTTGTTAAAAGATTAAGTAAGGTAAAAATAAAGAAGTAGCCATCGGTTTAAAGGTCACGTGTGATCTTGACAAGAGCAGTTTCTGGGATGTGGTTGGGATAAAAGCCTGATTAGAATGGCTGAAGGAGACTGTAACTTAAGGGCACTGAGAAAGTATCTAGATAAGATTTGTGAAAACTGCTGTAAAGGGAAGCAGGAAATGGGGTGGCAGCTGGGAGAGTTCATGGGATTTTTAAGACTGGATATAATAAAGCATGGTGTCAAGAATTGTTTTTAAGGTGGGGGACATTTTTATCTCCATTCTCTGGTGAAAAGTAAAGTTCTGAAAAGTTAAGCAACTGGCTTAACTTGTGTAAGGTCACAGAGCTAGACAGTGACAGAGTCTAGATTCAAATTGTGGTCTGACTCCAGATTTGTGGTCTTTTCACATTTCTCTGTTACCTGTGATTTGCATGATAATTAAAAACTAGAAAACATGAAAGTCATGTTTTCAGATGAAATTAAAAAATTACCATAGCACTAACATCTTCAGACATTGATACAGTGAGGAAGAACAGGGAGAAACCAGCATGTTATAACAGAAAGCTTGGTTTTGCATGCTAGGAACTACCTGCTTTATCACAATAGAATGATGCGCACCAAATTCACTTCAGTAAGCTAGACGTTAAAAAGTGGCAATTTTATATATTACTAGTGGCCCTGTGCATGAATCCGTGCGCCAGTAGCTCGCTGCTGCCCTTCTGTAGCTCCCTCCTCCCCACTCCCCTCCTCACAGCTTGCTGCCCTGCCCCCTCCTGTAGCCCTCGCAGCCGCAGCCGGCTTGTAGCTCGCTGCCCCACCCTCCTGCTGATCCGTGATCTGGTCGTTACACGGTGGGTGGTTACGCATCAAGGTATAACGACTATTTGCATATTACATCTTTATTATATAGGATTGTCTATAGATGCTCTTATGCCTACCTTGCTTTTTTTGAGGTCAAAGCTTTATTTTCATTCAGTTTTCTTCCACCACTTTCTATGTCAAAACATACATGTATTTCAGTGAGTTATTTCTATACGTCACAAATAATACATACATATACCATTAAACCAGTGGTTCTCAACCTGTGGGTCACAATCCCTTTGGGGGTTGAACGAACCTTTCACAGGGGTCACCTAAGACCATCAGAAAACACATATATTCAATGGTCTTAGGAACCGAGACACCGCTCCTCTATCCATCTCCAGGCAGGTCCGCCCACATGCAGATACGCCCACATCCGAGTACCCGGCGTATTAAAGGGTCGCAGCATAAGGAAGGTTGAGAACCACTGCATTAAACAATTAAAAAGTTCCCTTTCTGACCCCCTACCAGTAGACTAGTTTATATCAAAGTTTTCAAAAATCCTCATTTACTAGCCAGGTTCTTAAGACATTACTTAATAGAAAACAATTATTTATTAGGAAAACAATAAACATTTAGATAAAACACAATCATTTTATTTCTCAGACTCAAAGCAGAACTTTAATTAGGAAGGTGATATTGGCTAGTCTTGTAATAAATTATCTTATACCAAAAAAATGAGTAAGAAGGTGAAAACATTTAAATGATTTGTTTAAGAATACAAAAAATCAGATAAGAAGATGGGGATTAGATACCAACTGTAATTAAGCTGAATCAAATCAATTACTATGATATACTTATTGCTTGAAAGTCATTTAATAATTTTACTGTCTCCTGCCAACCAAATTAGGAATCCCAAAATGTAACTGAGAGAGCTATATAAGATATTAAATTGTTGGGGGATCCATATACAATTTAATGTTTAATAAATGAAATACTTTGTACATATAACATTTCATTTTACAAATAATCTAAAAGCTAAAACATTATTTACAGAAAGTATGGGATTCAACTTCTGTGTTCTAAAAGGAAAAATACCTGTGGTATTCCTTGCACCATCTTTCCATGTATCTGGAGTGATAACAGTACCAAGTTTCTTTTCACCTGTTATAACAAGATAGTAAAAGGAAAGGGAATTAGTATTTACTATCTAAGAAATACATTATATTGTCCAAAGTTCACAATGGTCTCAACAGGCATATTAGGATCCTGTTAATGCTGGGGTCAGGGCCAGTGAACAGAGACTTAAGCTATTAACTATGGGCAATATATAACAGACTCTTAGTAAAATCTATAGTATAATCCTATATAATAAAAGGCCAATATGCAAACTGACCGAACGGTGGACCGACTGGTTGCTGTGACGTGCACTGACCACCAGGGGGCAGATGCTCAATGCAGGAGCTGCCCCCTGGTGGTCAGTGCGCTCCCACAGGGGGAGTACCATTCAGCCAGAAGCTGGGCTCCCAGCTGAGGACCCCGCCCTCCGCTCTCCCCCCCGCCACCCCCCACTGCAAGTGCACGAATCTTGTGTACTGGTCTCTAGTAGGCTTATAATAGGCTTTCTCTGTACACTTTAAACAAACTAGGTAAACAAATCTGATAAATCTGTTCATTCCATAAATATTTACTAAACATCTATAAGCCATTTATATCAAGTATAGTCCATTATACAAAATACAGAGAAAAAAACCCTGATGAGTTAGGTAAAGTTCTAAATTTCAAGGAGTTTTCTGATTTCTCTAACAGTAGTCCTTAACTTGGATTTTACCAGTGGACATAGGAGATAATGTGAATTAGATGAAATTGTACACAAATCTTTGGTATATTCTCTGTATTTATAGAATCTGGTAAGATAGCTTTCATCAGATTTTCAAAGGGTTCAGAGAAACAACAACAAAAGTTAACCATTCAATTAAAATATAAGCTAAAAAAAAGTATAATAATTGAGCTAAAACAATTTGAGAGTAACATACTAGGAGAAATACCATGGAGAAAGAAACAACCTGGCTAGGGAAATCCAGGAAAGCTCTGTGGGAAAGGTAATAGAGAGGGTATGTGGCAATGGGGGTATATAAACAAAATGGATTATGTTAACTAGCCATAAGAGGACTTGAAACCCTGTCACAGAAGAGTCAGATATGTCTAGCTTGGGGAAAAAGAGACTTGGGCATATACAGTTATTTTTAAACATACAGACAGTTTGTGAGGTCAAAAATAAGAAATCTTCTCGGTTGGCATTAGAATCACTGGGTGGCAACTATAGGGAGGAAAGACTCTTTTAAAAGCCAGTGAAGTCTACACAGACTGCTTTGAAAGTGGTGAGAATCTCCTGCCACCTTGCCTCAATACTGTAGGTATTCTTGAAAAAAAGTACCAAAGCCATTGGGTGGGATACTGACTTCCGGTTGTCAGATAAAATACAGGATGCAGTTAACTTTAAATTTCAGATACACAACAAATACTTATTTTTGGAAAGGATGTCCTATAAGTAAGTGCTTTGGGACAAAGAACTCCTCACAGTAGTTTAAGGAGCAAAAGACAGAACTAAGTCATAAATATTGCATGGAATATACTTATACTCAAAATTAGTTGTTGTTTGCCTGAAATTCAAATTTAATAGGGCATCGGTATTTTTATTTGCTTAAATATGGCAAATGTTGAAGTGACTTTTTTTGTATTTGTTGAATATTTTAATAACAGTGAGAAAATAAGTTTTTATTTTTAAATCCTTACTTTACTGTGACATTTGGTTCCATTTTTGTAAAAACAACTTAAGACTACTTTTATTTTCAAAACCTAGCCTTACTGTTGGTATACCAATAAGACTTTATAACCCCTTTGGTAGAAGAGTTTCTAAATTTCTTAGGCTCAGATGCAGTCCTAATAATATTATCTGAAAACAATGGCTCATTTGAGACTTCAGATCAGAGGCTGCAAGGTCTGTGGAAGGCGTACCTACTGGAAACTGGCCA